AAGAACCATATTTGTCTAAAGTTTGAGCAGCTGGGTCACATTCTGAATGCCGTCATTACAGACGGACATTTTTCATCCCATCAGAGAGCTGCAGCCTCCAGCCTGACGTCAACAGGAAGTTGGGACCTCTGAGTAGCAGCCACCGAATGTGAAACTCATTGACTTTGTGGTCTATTATGTGTCTGCTACTGAGCATGGTGTCTGTAATTAGACAACACATGGGGCAGACCAGCAGAAGTGAAGCTGAACATGAAGCTTTTCAACGAGGTCTCATCAAACGCCTGGAAGATCCTGAGCACATAATAGTTGTGACTTTTGGGCAGTACCGTGCAGACATGTTAGGTGTTTGGATGATTATCCAACACACAGTGCCATCAGGGAGGAGTCCAATAGGTTCCAAATTCATTCGGCAGACGGAAGTTGCAGACTGATGCATTCCCTTTACTGAGATTCATCTCATTACAGTATTTCGAGCCTCCTCAATCTCTTCCATCCTTTGGCTTGTGAATCAGAAACTGATCAATTAGATTCCATCTTGACGGATGTCTCAATTTCTAGAATCATCTGAAGGCGAGAGGAGGTCAACTGGAGGAGCTTTGAGTCAGGATGCACAAGTGTATCCTCAGTGTGTCCTTTGTGGGAGTCACGTCTGACTTAGACCAGCTAGAATATATAAACCTTTATGAACCATGTCAGGAGCAGGACTGACTGATGTGCCTATAGCATCGCTATATATTTGTACAGTACTCTTGCATGTCATGTCTTTTTTATATTTCCAAGCATGCATTAAATGAAAAATGAGAATGTGTGACACGTTAAAGTAACAGTAAACATACACTGTAAGTTATTATGAACACTGTTCTGAACATGTGACGGATAAAAATGTTAAAATCCAGCAGCAGGCTGTAACCAAACAATGAGCAAATGATGCACACTGCATATTTAATTGACATCACTCCCGCTCTCCTTTTGTGAAACGCCTCTCTCCTAGTGTCTCTTCCTGTTTGTGTAAGTGCGTCAACCGACTTTCCGTCTGTCGGAAATCATCCGACACACCTCGGGTGCATCAGCAGGATATGAACTTTAGATCAACTCTCCACTAGGTTGTTCTGCCTGCTCACGCTCCAAACTCCCAGCCTGACCTCCACTCAGTCCTCATACTGGGGAATTTATCGACAGCTCGACACCTCCCAGCTCAGCTCCACAGCCACATACGCTCAGCTGAGGCACATAGCACGTTATTAACTGCACACTTAATTAGCCAGCCTACCTGGAAGTTCACCTTCACTGTGCTGATACCAACCAGATGCTCCTGGATGTTCTGCGATCCACAAAGAAAGATGTGATCTGATCCTAATCTATGGAACAGTTGAACTTTTCATGTAAGATGCTGCTGAAGATCCATCCCTTTTTTTTTGCATTTTAGATTTTGACAACAATGAATTTATTGCTTATGGTGTCTTTTTTTCAATTCAGATCTATCTTTAGCCATTACGTTTTACTGTGTTTTATGGGTTGCTATTTAATTACAGAGCACTCTGGTTTAACACTTTCTAAACAAACACTAATATAATGTTAGGACATGCCAGCCATGTGCCCAACGGCACACATCTTCCTAGAAGAATCTCACCTAGTTTCCTTCATAACACTCTTACAATAAGCAAGCTTTTTAAGCATTCTATTTTGTGTCCTGAGTTTGGATCCTAGTTTATAGCTTCTTTTTTTTCAATATCTTGCTATGTTGAATGTAGTATTGTGAAATATTACACGGTATTCTGATCAAATGTTAAACCAGAGAGGGCATGACAGTAGATTTTGCACTTTTAGGGGAAGAAGAACCAAATATCTTTAATAAAACAGTGTAGTTTTTCCTTTTTTCTCCCTTTTTTTTCTTTCCTAGAAGTCATTTCTGCTCAGTTGAACCTGCAGCGACAGACAAGGTTCACAGGAAGCATTTTGCTTCTGCACCACCCACATTTTTAAGCTTTTGAATTTCCTTTTTTCAAGTGTAAGATCTGAGCAAGTAGTGAAAACATACCATCAGTAATACAACCCAAAACATTTGTTGGAATAATTCTGAGACTGTCAGGAAGCTGTAATTTTCACGGTAGACTGCCGTTCTGTTGTACTAGATTGCATGGGAGCATAAAAGTCTATTTGTGATGGACTGCTAATGACAAGCCAGACAAGCATTAAACTCTGTGGATATCATTTTTTGTCCACCCTGCAGAAATTGCATCATTCCACCCTCTGCTGAAGATTTATAGTTGGGTAATCATAACTCTGCAGATGGTGTGTGTGTGTGTTTGTCTCTTTACCTGCAGTAAATTCTTCCGAGGTGTAGCCAGCAGATTGATAGCCGAGGAGAGGGTGTGTGTGTGCTCTGAGGCCACTTCTCCCAGTCCAGCTGCATGGGCCCAGTCCAGGAGCACGTCCAGGTTGGCCCGCATTCGCACGCCTCTGGACCACTGGTAGAAGCCTGGCTCGGAGCCTGTGTACACATCAGCAGACAGTCATCTCTGAAATGAGTTCTTTGTTCATCGTCATTTAGCAACACTGCAGCAACTATATTCATGTGTTTGCAAATGAGAGCTCTGCTGTTCCAGACAACCTAAGCACATTAGAATGTGTTATTTCTGTCAAAGAAAGCAGAGTGTATCATGAGATGTTGCCTATAATCAACTATTGGATGAAACATCACAACAAAACAACAATCTAGATGCAAGATGAAAGTCAAATGTATCTTCTTCCTGTTTCCACTATCTAAAACAATGACTCACATCTGGTGAAGCAAACAGTCACGAGAGAACGATGTGTAATAATCTCGAGCTGAAAATAGTTCCCACATTTATTTACAAAAAACTGACATATATATATAAAAAAGTAACATTTTTACATTATAGAAAGTTGCAGAGCTCAGTTACACACTGAACCAATACACAAGGAGATTTTTGAACTCTCTGAACCCTAAACCCTGCCAGTTATGTTTTAAAAAGCATGCTGTTCTGTTTTTGTTTTTTTTAAATCTTCAGATTCCCGCACACAACTTGCAGAGATGCATTCATTAGTGCTACATTTCAGTACTGGATTTTCATTAGGAAAAAAATCTTTGCCTCCTGTTTGAGTTGCCTTTGTGAATATCTGAAGTACCTGTTGTTTAAATCAATAACCAAATCTTCACTGTGACTAATTCTTAAAGGTCATCAGTGGAAAACGTTCTTGGAACTGAGTGGGTTTTGTTTTTTTAATCTGAACTGTGAAAAGAAAGATAGAGCATTACTTAACCTGGTATTGCTTGCATACCCTTCCTTTGTTTTTTAAACGACAGCAAAAGTACTTATGTTTTACTCTGCACCTTACAATCCAGCTCCCCTGCCACCCTACAGAGGATTAAGCCGTGTATAGACGATGGATGGATGCGCACACTTCAGAGGCTCAGAGGGCTGGATATGTTCACCTGACTGCCACTAGGGAGCAGAGCAGCCACAGCTAAACTCATCCATGTGGTCGAGCCAACACTCACACTTGTGGTCTCAAGCACTTACATGCTGGTTTACGAGCCTGCAGGTAGTAGACCAGCATGTCTCACGTCAGAAAAATGCCAAAGCACACCGTATGTTTAACTTGATGCACCGCAGTCTGTTCAGCCAGAAGGAAAGTGAAGTTTATTTACATGTTGTCAGTGTGATTACCATTACTCATGTCCAAATATGACAAAGTTAGAGCAAAACCTCCACTGATGTAATACAAATAATCTGTTCTTCTTGATGCAACTGCTAAGCAGTGGTGGAAAGTAAATAAGTCTATTTAGACAAGTTCTGTCCTTAAGCGCAATTTTCTGCTGCTGTACTTTTAACTCCACTACATTTGACATCAGTTTTAGGTACTTTGCAGATTTTGTTTGATAATACAACACATAGAGAACAATTATGATGTAAGGTTAGATTAGATTAGATAGATTAGATTAAATATTTATTGATCCTTAATGAGAAATTCACAAGTAACTCAACATAAACTATATATTCATCCATCCATTATCTATACACTGCTTCATCCTCACTAGGGTCATGGAGGGGCTGGAGTCTATCCCAGCTGACTCATGGTGAAGGCAGGGGACACCCTGGACAGGTCACCAGTCTATCTTAGAGACAGACAACCAAGCACACTAACATTCACACCTATGGACAATTTAGAATCACCAATGAACCTCAACATGTTTTTGGACTTTGTGGGAGGAAGCCAGAGAACCCTGAGAGAACCCACGCTGCACGGGGAGAACATGCAAACTCCACTCAGAAAGATCCCAGGTGTCCTCACTAGGACGCAAACCGGTGACCTTCTTGCTTTGAGACAATGATGCTAAGCACCGAGCCACCTTGCAGCCCGATAAACTATATGAAGAAGTTCAATTTCTTTTATTAGCTTCAGCCTTCAAGTCATGAAAACATTATTACCTCAACAATGAAATCCAGTTAGATACATTATTCTGAAATATGCCATTCTGCATGATAAGTACTTTTATTTTTGGTTCTTTAAGTTGATTTGATGTGAATACTTATGTACTTTTGCTTAAGTATAAACTGAAATAAGTTACTTTTGCTTGTAACAGATTATTTCGACGCTGTGGTGTTACTAATCTAATCTTTACTTCTAGTCTCAGTAGTTCTTTGAATAATTCTGCAAATCTGTTACTGTTAAAACAAACATAATCAATTCAGTTAACTTGGTATGGGAATGCAAAAACATCCAAATAATTAAATATTAACACTAAAGCTACAAAAATATAGTATGTGAGAATTTTCAAACATCAGTTGAAATCCATTTTTTAAAACATTCATTAGAATAAAGTATTTCTTTTGCTTTTTATTTCAAATTGAGACAGCTGTTATAAACATGTGATGCACACACTGAAGTAATAAAAGACTGTATCTGTAGTAGAGAAGAGACTAAATGAGATCATCTTTATTGAAATGCTGCATTTCCCACATCGTGGGAGGTGATTAACAGGAGGTTGAAGTTTTGTGACGGAAGACGTCATCATGAGTCGCCTCATGTTACTCTGAGCTGCAGTGGTGACATGAGAGTATAAAAACTGTCAGGAAAATTGCCAATGTGCAACTTTAAAGTATCATTATTCAATATGAATTTAGTGTGCTACCCTCAGTTCGTGTCAGAATGCTCTGTTTAAATCTGGAAATGACACGTGGAAGGCCTGGAACAGCACTGCTCTTTTCTGTCAAGATTCCTGCAGCAATGATGACTGTTGGTTGAGTGATCTGGTTGGTCAGCAGTCAGGGCAGTTAACGGGTTTTGATCTTATCTGAGGTGGCTGCACAGATTACTCTAGTGATATATTTCCAATAAAAGTGGGCCACTTTAATCTCAACAGATACATTTGGATGAAAGATAATCTCCTATTCTTGATCTGTGATATGAGCCTTTGTAAAAGTTAGGCACCTTAAATGTACTAATCCCTAGATCCTAATCCAATTCAGCCTCCATATAATTCCCCAGAACAAGCCTGATCCACTGATGCCCCACCCTGCAACCCACAGGACCCAAAGGATTCACTGTCAATGGATGTTGGTCCTGCCTCCATGACCCGACAGGTCAGAGCAGTTCTGGCAGCAGAAAGTGGCCCACACAATACTACGGCTGGGTTTATGTTGAGGCTGGCTGGTGTAAAGTAGATTTAGATTTATGTGCACGGTTTAGGTCATAGTCAGTTACATCAGTCACAAAGGATGAGGTAACTGAGTTTGGGCCAAAGGCAGAAAAGCTAATTAAGACATGTAGCGTAAGTTAACACACCGTACAGGATAAACAAAACTGTGCTGGCCCAGCTCTAAGGGCTGACCCGGGCTGCATAGCTGATAAACAGCAAGTGATACGCTGGCAAAATGTTTCAGGAGCTACTGGCAGAAACTGTTTGGATCACGTATACAACCCTTGAGGCTACTGTGAATGAGCTCTAGGCTGTGATGCAGGTACCTCTCTCCATAAGTGAGTTGAAGAGCGACGCGTTGATAAAGTAGAAGAGGTAGCCAATGAGCTGAGAGGAGACCTCCGGGTGGAGCTGACAGTCTGAGAGCAGCGTCCAGCTCTCGGTCAGAACCTCCACCACCTGCTGGATCTCCCCCGGGACCTGCAGCCCTCCGCTACCCAGGACCAGAGCACTCTCACCAGCCCCCTCGTGACTCCCCCTGAATGGGTTGCAGTCCAGAAGTCCCGGCAGGATTGGGTAAAGGACCTGGCAAGACAGAAAAGCAAATGTGTAGCTCAGAGTGACTCATTCATCCATGTGGAGCTGGAGGTTGTTGACAATTCCTGTGGGTCAGTTTGAGGTTGGAAAAGTTAACATGGTGTGGTGGATGTTCTGATCACTGGGATACACTAAAACATGTAACCCTCTAATGCAGATTTCAGACCACCCATATAGTCTCCACATGTCTGTCTCTCACACTACAGTATAGCTGATATAAGATTAGTCTGACACAACCAGAATTAAAGGAAGGCAGAGTTTCTAACTTTTCCTCCCTTTCAGCCAAAGGTCCTCGCTGTTCTTCAGGGCGAGCCCGGACAACGGCCGCTTTGTTCGGGCTAATTGTACACAGACATCCCCCTTCCCCTTCAATCTCGCTCCTACACCCACCAAGCATCCGAGGCCAGCGCCAGCCGTAGATCCACATTCCTAAAAAGCTGAATATGGCTCATGTGGGCTTGGCATGGTGTTGCAACAAGGACTGCTGAGTGAAGAGTTCTGAAGGAATCCACCCCGAGCAGATCAGTTTACATTTACTGTAGGCCCCCGCAGGCAGGCAGGCCGAACACGCACAGGAGAACATAACAGTCACGGCTCCCATCACACATGAGGCACTGGATATGGCCCAGCATTAAACCAAATCATTTTGCAAGTGTTGCTGGTTGGAAAATGTCGCTCAGCAGAGCCAAGCCAGAGAAGGATTCACTCACTCAACAGCGCTCGATTCTGGGATTACCACATGCATCCATGGCACGTATTAAGCCTGGAGGCAGAAAATAAAATGCATTGTCTGCCTATTTGTGCGTTCATTGTGACGGACAAGTAAACACACAGTCTGCCCACAAGCCTGTTAAAGTGCGCCTTTATTCGTCACGACATGTCATCGGCTGAAATAGCTGCTCACCAGTGGCGCCTTTTGTTTTCCATCCCGCAGCAATAACCCTCGCGTCGGATGGACGAGCATGAAATATCCCAAATAAACAGAGATTTAAGGAAATGTTACCACGTCTGTTGTGATTTTGATTTGCTGTGAAGATGGTAAAGCTGGTGTCACCGTCTGTGCTGTTTAATGGAGGTTGAAGGTGAGCTGAGGGAAAAACTAACTGTAGCTCAGTGTTTCTTTCTGTTGTTAAACCTTAAAATCTAACACTTGCACCGAGTGCCGCCAAAAATCCCTCAGTCTGCTGAACCCTGTGAACCTGCTGGTGAAAGGACAGGATCACCGCTAATCATTACGCCTTAGATGAGGTAGCTCCACAGACTGACAACAGCGAATTCACAGCATTCCTCGTAGATCTAAGCTGTCTGTGAAGTGACAGTCATGATGGATGGCACGACACGCATGGATTAGCTGGCAAGACAGAAAAGAAAAACTGAGACTATGTCAGAAAAGGTCAGCTAAATCTGAAAACCAGAATGGCCAAACAATGAGAAACCAGATTCTACGCCCTCCTCTTTCAGTCAGCAAGCAAAGCTTACAGCCAGTGTTGGCCAGAAAAACATTCCTTAATAATGATTTACAGTAATGTCTCTATTGTTCAGAGATGAGTAGAGTGGTGTAGTTACAGCACTGGTGGGAAGTAACAAATACTGTACTGAAATACAATTCTGTGGTTCAGATTTTGAGCTACTTTATACGTTGTAAGACATCACATTCAATTGACATACTTACAGGAGTGTACATGAATACAAGAGTATTAACATAATATAACACTGCACACTTGAGTGCAGGACTTCTATGTGTAACAGGAAACTTTCACACTGTGATATTGCTATTTTTACTGAATGTTCTAACATTGCACCTCTGCATTACATTTGTTAATCCTGCTAGAGCTGCAGCTGACAAAAGCACAATCAAAAAATCTAAAAATAATGTCAGACAATAGTGAAAAATGCCTCATATGTTTGCTGAAACCAACAAATGTGGAGCATTTTTCCTTTTAAAACAATAACTTTAATTTTTATTGCAAAAGAGTTGCTGATTAATTTGATCTCAACTGACTAATTGATTAGGTAGTTGTAGCAGCTCCAACTCATAGTAATGCAATGTTACTTCAACATGTTGGAAGTCAGCATGTTTGCAATTTAACTTTAGATAGATGGGAATATTTCCTATCTGTGTGTCAAATGAATAAAATTAATCAGGACATGTTAGCTTAGCATTGAGCCTGGCGGTCATAGACTGCATCACAAAGATGGCCGAACCTCCTGGTCTGAAAAATAAGATCAAAGCACAAGTGTCTTAAACCGGCATTCTTTCTAACAGCCAGCAGAGGGTGACTGTTCTGGTTTTAAAAATGAATTTGACTGCATAGAAGTCAATGAGAAAGTGACCTTATCTACTACTGTATTTGTTGCTTCAATAAATGATTCCCTAATTAGTTTATGGTCTCAATTGCTAGCTGTAACTCTCCTTCAATGCAACAATATGGTCTTTTTGTCAATTATGGTCTCATTTAGAGGGTATTACATGATAAAGCAGGATGTGCTTTTGCAGTGGGGCTTTCCTGATGACTAACAGATCACCATCAGTGTACATCTTGTCATTGAGAAGAGCAAGATGGTTTCAAAACAATAGTCCACAAATAAGTAGTTAACATCACAGTGGCCACATCCAAGTTTTATATACAATCTTTCGTGGGGATAGAGGGACTTGGCAACCTTTTGCTAATTAGGAGGCTGTCTAATAACCACTGGTACCACCTATATGCAGATGTGACCTGGGTTTTGTCCACTGTTGGAGGATGTCACTGAGGCTAAACCAACTGTAGCTGCTGGTGGTCATTAACACTGTATGTTGGTTTGTGAATGTAGAAGTTTGGAGTTATGGAAGACAGCAAATAATGCAACTACTTATGTCTCCTGTCCGGTAAATAGTGAAGGAAGTAAATTTAGGTTTTCAATCAGGTAATTGTTTTTTTGTTTGTTGTTGCTACGTTTACTTGCCAACCCTCTGGTCAGCAGTGGGTCAGTGTTAACCAACTTTAGTGGGAAACCAAACACAAACACAAATGGCCCGGCTAGGTTGCAATGATGAAGGCGAAACAATGCATAGCTGAACATTAGATTTGCATTCTATATTGTAAGTTACAATCATGAATGTCATATTTTTGGTATTGTTTATGGTTTTGCTGACAAAACTCCATCTGGAAGTAATTCGATTCATCAGGCAGACTTGCTCAGAGAATGACTGCTATCTGAGACTAGGTAGTTAGATAACCACATCCTACTGCACCGAGCAAAAATGTGCTGTCTCAGACGTACAGGACAGCAACTACTGAGCAACTTCTATAGTTTCCTCTTTAGAGATCCAGTGCAATTTCATTGACTTCCTTCCTGCATGGAAAACTGATACAGAAGTAGACTGAAACATAGCGCATCAGGCACAAAGTTCGTCTGAGTTCCAACTGGCAGGACATGTGAGGCCTGGACTTGGCTGCTGCTAACAGTATGTCACGCTGTCTCTGATATGGCTCAATACTGGACATGACACATGGACATGGTCCTGTGCTCTTCATCTGGAGTTGATAATTTGTAGCATGAAGGCCACTGGAATTGGAGAGGAGGAAGAGGAGGAAGAATTGTTGGAAAAAAAAGAATAATTTATATGTGATTGTGTGAACCTAAATAGGCCAATCTGCTCATTAGTATTGTTTGGATGGTGTTTTGACCCACACCCACACAGCCCAAGTGGAAATTTGTCTGAAACTTTCCTGGGCACAATTCCATGGGTGTGGTGCTTCAGTGAGAATGCACACAACTGAATACTGTGGCTACAATGAAATATTATTTTCTCTTTTTCCAGTGAACACTGTGAGCATTAAGCACAATCCAGCTCAATGCAAACATACACAGTGTGTAACCCTGCTTTTTTATGTTCACTTTTAGGAGGCCTTGATAGTTTGGAAAAGTATTAGCTTTCCTGCTGAGAGTTAAATGAGAATATTGATATCCCTCTTGTGTATGTGTGCCAAGGATGGAGCTCGAGGAAAGAGGTAATTACCCTAGCTTAGCATAAAGACTGAGAGGCAGGGGGAAACAGCTAGTCTGGCTAACTTATGGTGATACAGAATTAAGTTTTAAAATAAAAAAAGACATATTTGAAGGATGCCTTTGCCCACATATCATGTGGTGTCATCAAACTGTTCTCTTGTGGATGGACATCTGTGGACACCAAAGTATTGTAGTTGTTGTTGTGCTCTTTTTCTAGTTTGCTTGGAGGACACGTTTGATATATATGTAGTGGGTCAGCGTTTGCCAAGCACACTGCCAAGGACGCATGTTGTGTAGTTACTGCACAGACTGCATGCAGGTGTGTGCAGAGGGGTCTATCCACCAATTATCTATACACCGCTTAATCCTCAGTAGGATCAAAGGCTGCTGGACCCTGTCCCAGCTGACTTAGGGTGAAGGCAGGGGACATCCTGGACAGGTCACCAGGCTATCACAGGGCTACACTTAGAGACAAACAAGCATACTCAAATTCACACCGATGGACAATTTAGAATCACCAATTCACCTCAACATGTTTTTGGACTGTGGGAGGAAGCTGGAGAACCTGGAGAGAACCCACACTGCACGGGGAGAACATGCAAACTCTACACAGAAGGATCCCAGGCCCAGGCCAGGATGTGAACCGGTGATGTTCTAGCTGTGAGGTGACGGTGCTAACCACCGAGATGCAAAGGGGTCTGCACGGACATTAGCAGATATGGATAGATGATTAAATTCACATCTGTTGGACCCTAAGTGACCCTTGTGTACTTGTGGATGAGAAAAGTATAACACCAGTGCGACATCTATGTCTGAAAAATGAAGCCAACACTGAGGTACCTTAAACTCGTAATTTAATTGAAATAAACCAGTGTCAATAATTTTTTTGGCCACTTGAGGGCACTGTAACAGCCCATATGTGACATATTGACATATTGCTGGTTAGGAATCAGGTGCTTTTTATACATGCAGTGCAGTAAACAATGGAAAGAGTTATGTTTCTGGATACTCCATAAAGTTATGTCCACTATCTTCCCCTCTCCTCTCAGCTCTGGTTTGGTTTTCAGGGCTTCTTAAGGGCAATGTGGCTCTTTAGTGAATACAATGGGTTTATCACAGCTTTTTCATTGAAAACATCCAGGCTGTTGTATTGGAGATAACATTAAAGAGTGTGACATGAGTAAATCAGAACAGCAAAGTTGTGGGACCTAAACCCTGAAGCAACCAACTCAAAGATGCTAAAAGGCTACAGAGTCACTGATGATTTCCTGTTGCTTTACTACTAAAGGCAACCATGTTACTGTTATGTGCAGTAATTTGATCCATTGGTAATGTAAACATATTGATGAGTGCAGCTTTAACATCTAGTCTTGTGCAGATTTACTGGCTGAGAAGCAGCTGCTCCTGTTTTTTTGCCTTTCTGTGTTTTTAAGAGCAACACGTGCTGCATTTGTGAACCTGGCTTCC